GGATCGAGTAGGTGGGGTCGAAGTAGATGGGGTCGGAGTAGATGAGGATCGCGCCGCATCGACAATGCATCGCTGGTGCATCGTCGATGCATCGCCGACGTCGGCGACGCACCGGCGACGTCGGCGTGGAAAAAATCGGGCTCCACATCGAGTCGCGTCGGCGATGCATCGGCGATGCGGCGCGATCCTCCGACCCCATCTACTCCGGCCCCATCTAGGAGGCCTAGAAAGGTTCTGGGCGCGGCTGCCCTCCAGGTCCTCCACCTCGGCGCCGTGGTCGGGGTGATCGCTTGCCATGGCTGGCCTCGCCCGACCGCGCTTCTGTTGAGCAGGGACCGACCGTCCCGGCATTCCTAGAGGCCTACCACGAACTGTTCGTAGAACCCCAGAGTGCTCTAGCAACAAAAGTCAGCATCTTAGAACACGAACCCGATGTGTTCAAACCCGACGGTCCCAACCAGAACTGTTCTGAAAACGTGCCGTGCAGACCACAGAAGGCTCTCAGAACACTCTCTGGCGGGCCTCTGGGCGAGCCAGGACGCCGCTGCCTGCTTCCGGGGGGCAGGTGGTGCTGGCTGCTGCGCTCGGGCCGCGGGCTGCGGAGCGGGGTCGGCGATACCTCCGGCGCTCGCCCCGCGGGGCTGGGCGGGGGGGAGGCTCGCGCGTGGACCCGGCGCGGAGCACCGCAAGGGTGCGCGCGGGCGCGTGCTCGGACGCCGGCCGCCGAGGGTCGAGGAGCCGGGGGCTACCTCCCTGGCCATCGCCAGAGGCGCGCCTCCTTCCTTTCCTTCTCCTCCTCCTCCTCCTCCTCCTCCTCCTCCTCTTCCTCCTCCTCCTCCTGGTCATCGCCAGTGCTGCGCCTCCTTCCTCGGGCATGCCACGGCGCTGGCTTTCCCGATCCCCGGCATGCTCGCGTCGTGAGGACACCGTCGCCCTCTGCCCCGGAGAACCCTCGCCAGGCCCCGTATACACCGTCGTCCCGGGAGGGAAAAGAGGCCCACGGGCAAGAGGTCAGGCCACCTGGGACGGAGGAGGAGGAGGAGGAGGAGGAGTTTTGCAATGCGCGGCAGCCAGGCGCACACCCTATTCGCGAGAGCAAAAAGGCCGGGCGACAGGCTGGCAAAACAAAACCTGCGGGCTAAACACCCGCCGAGGGCCACTCGCGGACCCCAGGCCTAGGAGGGAGGCCCTTGCGCAGCCGCAACAGAGCAGTCAGCTGCGCCTTGGTCAGCGCGAGGGGCCCGAACCTCGCCGCCTCGCACTCCTCCAGAAGACGGGAGGGCCTGGAGTCCGCGTAGCGACCGCAGAAGCTGCAGAACGTGATGGCACCCTTGCGCCACAAAAAGTGCGAGGCATGCGGCAAATGACCCGCTATGCCAGTGCCAGGAGGCAGCCGAGATGGGGGATCAGGCATCCCCAGAGAACGAAAAAGTTGTTCGTCGATGGGCGGCAGCCCTTCGTACGAGCGCGGCAGCCTGACGCAGGCCCGAGGCGCGGGAGCTGCGTCCTCCACCTCTGGCTCTGCCGCAGGCTCGAGAGGCACCACACCGTCCCCCCCCCCGTCCTCGACCGCCCCGTCCCCCTCCCACTGCTGGCCTCGCTGCTGCAGCTCCACGCTGCAGGGAGGCGTGCTGGGCGACGGCCTCAGGGCCGAGCACGAGGAACGAAGAAGATGGAGGGCGCGGCTCTGAGTGCGCCTGACCGATCGACCACAGCACTGGCAGCGCCAGCCGAAAACGGTCGACGCAAAGGCATGCTGGGAACGGGCCGAGAAGCCAGAAAGCAGCTCCTCCCTCCTCTGAGCCCTAGAAACCTTCGGTTTGGTCACCTCGCGGCCAGGGCTCTTGGGGGCGGAGGCGGCGGCAGCACAGAGAGTAGCATTGCGGAGCAGGATGGCCTCGGCCTGCTCCACCAAGTCCAAAGCGCGGCGTGCTAAATCTGGATCAAGCTGAGCCTCCTCGGACCGCTCCTCGGCGAGCCCGTCTGCCACTGCATTGAGAAAAATCGCCTCGGGCAGCACAGTGTGGCCAAGACGCGCAAACTTCGCGGGGTCCTCCGCTAGATGCGAGGGCACGTGCAGGAGCGAGAAGCGGCCCACGCGGGCGTCAAGCAGCGAGAAAAGGTCGTGCCAGAGGTCCGCGTGCTCGAGCCTGTAGCAGTGGCGGCGTCCGCGCGCTATCGCCTTCACGTGATTCACGTGGTCGGAGTACAACTTGAAATCGGCAGCTGGGTGGACGGCCCTGACGCACTCCACAATGGCCAGGAGCTCAGCACGGGGCACCGTTTGCACAGGGCCGTCCACCAAGCCCGTGCAGCCTGAATCCCAGTCCAAGCCCTGGCCGTCGCCAAGGCGGGCAAAGCTCCACGCCACACGTCGTAGCAAGGGCTGAGACGACCAGGCTCCACCTGCACCGTCGGTAGCGTAGATCCCCCCTGGCAGCTCCCCGCCACCGCAGCGCAGCCACCGATGGCCACGCTCGTCGGGGGGAGGCGGGATGTTCAGCCAGGCAAGGGGCACAAGCCCGCGGCACCAGAAGACAGGGGCACGGTCGATCTCCTCCAACGCCTGGCTGCGAAGATGGTTGGAGGAGACCACGGCCTCTGGAGGGGGAGGCACACCGACCGAGAGCGCCCAGTCCCTCTCCATGAAATTGCACATGCATTCCCAGAAACGATGACGGCTGGATTCACGGGAGCGGTGGCAACGCTGGCACAGATCGTCCGTGCGGTAGCCTGCCTGGTGGCGACGCTCCTCCGTCCAGTATCCTCCACATGCGACCAGGCGAACAAGGCTGGCAAGACTGTGCTGGGACTCCTTCTCCAGCCGTTCCGCCAGTGCAGGCACATGTTGCCACCAAACGCCCCCCTCCGCCCCACCCCCGTCAAGGTGCTTGGCCGCCTGTCGCCAGGCAGCGTTCTCAGCGGTCTGCTCCAGAGCCGCGAGGAGGCAGGTGACGGGGGCGACGGAGGTGGCGAAGAGCTCCCACTCCTGCCCGTCTGGCTCGACCAACTTGGACAGGGACGGGCACTGCCAGCCAGCTGCAATGACAGAGGCCTGGAAAGCTGAGAGCGGGCCGCGCACGAAGTTCCAGCCTCGCGCCACCCGCTTCAGGGACGCGTCCCATCCTCGCTGGACCTTCGCAGCGAGGCCGTCCTCTCCAAGGACTCGAGAGTAAAAAGCTCCTACGATGTGCCTCAGGTACCAAATGGGCGGGTCGCGCCGCGCCCCAAAACTGATGCGGATGGCCACAGTGGCGCACGTGCCGCGCTGTGGGCACTTGCTGGCGAGCCTCGCCTGACCACGCAGCTGCTTCAGCATGGTCGGCGCCAGCCCGTGCACCTCAGGCGCCCACGCCGACTTCGGCAGGGCATTGGAGACGAAAAGGCGTGAGGCTCGCGGCGCTGACCTGACCAGACCCGAGATCTTGAGCGCGGCGCGCCTGCCCTTCATGAAACGCTTCTTGCGCACCTTCACGGAACGCGAAGCACCGAAAGATGTGTCGTGGCCGAGGTCGCGGGCAACACGAACAATCCTGAGGCCACCAGCCCCGACCTCGGCCGCTGACGCCCACGCGGGCAGCAAGGAACGGATGGCAGCAGAAGAGGCCATGAGGCCACACTTGCCTAGTGAAAACTCGCATCGCAACCTGCGTAGGCCCGTGAAGAGGGCGCGCAGCACCACAGGAAAAGCTAAGCTAAGCGAGTGCTCAGTGCCGAAAAGGCGGAAGGCGAGGTCGTCGATCCACTCCCTCAGGCGCAACCCTGGCACCAAAGCGTGAGCCGCCTTCAGCGGGCCGTGCAGGTAGGCACGCGCCTGCGAGACAGCTTGGCCACAGCCAGCGAGGATGCCTCCGCCAGGCAAGATACCTGTGTGCACCTGGCGCTGGAGGGTGAGGAGGCGAGGACCGAGGTAGACGTCGAGGGCGAGGGCGAGGAGGCGGAGGGGGTAGCCTAAATCCTGGGCCGCCGCCGCCAAGTCGGGCAGGGACACCAGGTCGTAAAACTTCCGAAGGTCGAGCAGTCCACCCGCAACCTCGAAGCCTCCCAGGAGCGCAAGCTCCCCCTCCAGCTCGTCCAACCACCCAGCAAGGTCAGCCGAGCCGCCCACTGTCTTGTCCCAGGCCCCGTGCTGGTCACGGTCCCAGGCTCCTATCACAGGCTTCCTGATGCGGCTTAGCAGCACGTAACTGAAATTGAGCAAGGCGATGGGCCTCAGACCTCCATCCTCCTTATCCAGCAAGGCGATGAGGTTGAACAGCTCTTGAAAGGGCACTGTGGCCTCGCGCTCGATGGCCGTCAGAAGGGCCGCGAGCGCAGCGATGGCAGCAGGCGGCGCATCCTTGACCAGGCGAGGCGGCATCATGTCAATCCCCCTCCCCCGACGATCAGGAACGGTCTTTAACGCCCCCCTCACCTGGTCAGGAGAAACAGGCTCGAAGCAGGCTGACGAGAGAGCAGCACGGCGGATCCTCGCGAGGGCCTCCAACGCCTCGGGCCGCGAATGCTTGCACCAGATTGCGTGCCACGAGGCGGCCTCCGCCTCCAACACGGCAGCTGGCGTGGAGGCTGGCTCTCCATCCCAGACCGGCTCGGCGCGACAAAAAGCGGGAGGATCGCGGAGGAGCCTATGGGCTTTGCTCGCAGAACCCGCCCAAGCGTCGGACAGCCAGGAGCGCCAGCGCGCACGGGCCGCCGCAGCCGCGCGCTGGGCAGCCTGGACTCCCTGCTCCTTAGCCTCCTCCGCGATCTGCTGAAAGCTGTCGAGCGAAAGCGAGCGAAGCTGGCGGAGCCATGAGATCCACCGCTCGAGGACCACTTTTTCCACCGCATCGTTCGGGTCGATAGGCGGGGGCAGCTGCAGGGCCTCAAGCCCACGCATAGTGCTCCAGAACTGCTCGCCACAGCCGGCGCGCGGAGTAGACGCCTCTGATGGGTCCGCCTCGGGATCAGCCAAACGCAGAAGCAAAGAGACCTGCACAGCGAGGGCCTGCCAGAAACGTGCATGGCGGTCAGCGAGAGGAGGGCCGTCGCTGGCTCGAGGCACGATGGGAACGTACTTGAGGCGAGGCTGCTGGCACCGTCCAACGTACAAAGGCCACTGCGAGCGAGGGACTCCTTTTTTGGCACAGTGAACAAACTCCAGAGCTAGGGCCCACTCCCCCAGCTGGCTTCCGAGCAAAAGGGCAGTCTGCGGCACATCGTGATCAGCAATGGCTAAGCTGGCCGCCTCAAAGTTAGAAGTAAAACGGGCAGAGGAGCGCTGGCGAAAAGCTCGGGCCTCAGAAAGGGCGACGTCCCAGTCCAGGTCGTAGCTGTCGTTGGAGGCGACACAGATGTCCAGTGCCTTCGGCATGACCACGCACCAGCCCATGAGCGTCCTCGGGTTGGCCAGGATGTCGTAGGAGAGCGCGAGGTGGGTGCCCCACGGGGCCGAGATGTCGACCCCTGCAAACTGCACCGCCGACGCGAAGGAGGACGAGACCAGGGCGTAGTCAATGGCGCGCCCCGCGCCCCTGCCGCCAGTACACGTGACCTGCAAACCTGACTGCACCTCGACCAGGCCGAGCGCCGCCATGAAGCCAGTCGCCGCCAACTCGCTGGACACTGACTGCCAGTCCCCGACGACGAAGAGAGGGCCCGCCAACTGGCCGAGCCGAGCACCCACTTGAGAAAGTAACTTGAGGTTGCGGCCGCCCAGTTCCTCGCCCGAGACCATGTAGATCGGGACGATGGTGAGCGTGACGCGGCGCAGCCTGAGGGTGGCCACGCACCAGCGCGAGCAAGAACTCGATGTCCAGCCTCCGTTCGCCTCGAGGCACAACGAGGCGAGCCCAAGACGGGCACGGGCGAAGATCACAACCCCCGCCGACGTGGAGGAAGCTTCCGTGGCGTCGGCCTCACCGCCAACCGCCTTCCAGCCCAGCCGCCTCGCGGCCGCGCACATCTGGGTATACTTGACACCCCGCACCCTGGTCTCAACCAAGACCACCACGTCTGCAGGCGTCTCCGCCAGCCAGCGCTCCGCCTGGGGCCCCCAGCACGAGATGTTCCCGTACACCAGCCTCAGGGAGCGGCCCTCGGCGTCGGGGCCCAGGCTACCCCCGCGGGGGGGCCGCCGCCGTCGCCTCCTGCTTGGCCGCAGCGCGGGCCGCGCTGGCGGCGCGGACGGCCTCCCGACGCCGCTCAGCCTCCAGCTCGGCGGCCTCAGCAGGCGTGGGCGAGGCGGCAGGCGCCGCTGGGCCAGGAGGCTCCTGGCTGGCCTCCGCCGCAGCGCCCGCAGGAGGGCTGGCAGCCGCTGCGGGGGAGGGCGACGGCTGCTGGACTGCAACGCCCTGGCCGTCCTCCGCCTTGCGCTTCTTCTGGATCTGCTTAACGTAGGAGACATACTCGGACTGGAGCTTCTTGGCCTGCTCGGCGACTCCCGAGAAGGCCTGGCGAAGGAGCTCCGTGGCGGCGACGCGCTGCTGCTCAGCGAACTTGCTGAACTTCGCCCTGTCCTCATCCGAGAAGGCGGGGCCCGCGACGTCGATAGATTCGCCGAAGTCGAGGCGCACCGAGTCTGGGTCCTCCAGCAGCGCGCCAATGTGCAGCACCGAGCCCGCCGATGGCGGCGCCGCCTCGGGCGCAGGGAGGACCCGCGCAGCGAGGTTGCGGGCCGCGAGCTCGACGGCCAGCTGGGCCTCCTCCTCCTTCTTGATAGCTTCGTCAACCTTCCTGTCGGCATCAGCGATCTGCTCCTCGAGGCGAAGGCGGGCGTCGATGGCCTGCTGGACAGCACGGGTAGCAGCACGCTTCTTGGCCTCAGCCGAGCTGATCTCGGCCTCGCCAAGGGGCATCGGTGGGGGAGGGTCGGGCTTGATCTTGAGAGTGGCGAGCAACTCGGCTGCGGCGGCGGGGGGCAACAGTGCGGCCGCCTTCCTGGCCGCTGCCACTGCCGCGGAATCCACACCTGACGCGCCGCCGCCGCCGCCGCTGGGAACGCCGTTGGACCCTCCTGCACCACTCTTCCCACCACCAGTAGGCTGCATGGCCGTGCCGCAACCCACGCAGTAGCCGCGGCGAGCCAACAAACGATCGTACGTCCAATGCCCGCACGTGCAGTACGTGTACGCCTGGGACTTCTTCCCCTTCTTGCCACCGCCGACTCTGGTCCAGCCATCCTCAGCGCGCCAAGGCGGGAGGACCATGGCGGGAGCAGCACGGGAGAAACTGGAAGAGCAGGCGCCCAACTCCTGCAGTGAAGGCGGGAAACAACGAGAACTGGCCGCGGACTAGCGGTATCCGTTTTGGCCCCAAGGGAACCTGGCATCTTGAGCCAAAATGGCTACGGAGGAGGAGGAGGAGGAGGAGGAGGAGGAGGAGGAGGAAGGAGGAGGAGGAGGAGGAGGAGGAGGAGGAGGAGGAGGAGATGGAGATGGAGTAGGAGGAGGAGGAGGAGGAAGAGGAGGAGGAGGAGGAGGTGAGGAGGAGGAGAAGGAGGAGGAGGAGGAGGAGGAGGAGGAGGAGGAGGAAAGGCCACTGGCCGAGGAGGGGCGGGGCCGTCGTCGCCTCGTCGGTCGCCACAGTCGGCCTGGGCTCGCGTGCAGCGGGCCATAGGCGCCGCAGCCGCGGCGGCAGGAACCGCCACGCCCCGAGGAGGGGAACCAGCGTGGCACCGCCGCGCCCGCCAGGTCCGAAGCCAAGACCGTGCAGTGGTACGACTGGCGGCGGCGACCACCAGGCTGGGCCAGCACCAGTGCGCAGCAGCCCCAGCGCAGCAGCAGCACCACAGTGCGCAGCAGCCCCAGCGCCACGATGGCTTCAAAAGGTCAGGGAAGGAGCTGCAGCAGCACGGGGGGGCAGGCGCCAAGGTGGACAGCACATCGTGCCGAAGGGTCCACGGCGACAGGCCCCCCCCGTGGGAGGATAACTCTGGCTATGGAGGAGTTCTTCGAGGGCGAAAAGCAGGTACAATGACAACTATTACCAGGACAACTACTACTACCAGGCTAAGAGAAGTTCAGCGAAAAGATCGGCATCAAGAAAGAGAAGAAACAACCCGAACGTGACCCAGGAGCCGAAGTTGACAAAGAAGCAGGCCGATAATGTCGATCATATCACACCAGCCCTCCTCTCGGTCGCTGAGGAACACGAGAGCTTCTCATCCCCGCCCCAAGAGCGAGATATTCGACGGGTATGGTACGCTACCCAGATAGCGAGACTTGGTCGTCTTGCTGAGCAGATCACTGGTGCTAGGCATGCCCAAGTCGACGTGTCCAAGTTATGCCACGATGTAGCGATCACGAAGAAAATGGCCCAGTTGATCATCGAGCCCACCAAGAGGATCGTGACCTACAGGCACCAGGTCGGGTAGCTGAATAAAAGAAGGCAGAACATCGAGACCAGCATCCTCGAGCTCAGCAACGAAGAAAAAGGATATCAGCGAACGCATCGCGGCATTAAAGGCGCTCATCCAGGAGACGAAGAGGCTCAAGGACTTCCAGGACCAAGACAAAGACTCCAGCTGCGACGGAGACAAAGACTCTGAGAGCGACAGCAGAGGCAACCGCGGCAGGTCCCCTAACCCCGCAGCGCGACAGCGGCAGCAAGCACCACGTACTCCACTGGCAGCCAAAACGAACAGGAGCAACGAAGACAGCGAAGGAGATATGAGGAGGCAGGTTGGGGAGCTGACGAAGCGGCTGGACGACAAACAGCGGCATCAGGGTCTCCACCAGCACCGCCTCGCCTTCCTCCATTATGAGCATGCAGAACAGGAACAGCAGCGGCGACGACAGGCCGGTCAATGCGAGGAAATGAAGGTGATGACCGACCGGATGAAGGCCATGAAGCACGGCATGAAGAGACATGAAGAGGAGCCGGCATCAGAAGCGCAACGGCGATTTCGACGAAAACGCGCCGAAGCCCAGCAACAGGCTCGCCAATATCTACATCGCGAGGAGAGCCGACTCGCACAACAAGCACAAGCCGCACAAGAAGCACGGATCGCTGAGGAAGCTCGTGTTGCCCAGCAAGCTCGACTGGTGCACGAAGCGAGAGAAGAAGCCTTCGCAGTTCAGCAGCAACGAATCGCTCATCACGCGCAGCTCGCCCAGGCACATCATTGCGCACGGGAAGCAAGGGAAGAACATATCAGAAGCGAGCTAAAGGCCAACGAGCAGCACCTGATCGGCGAGTACAGCAGGATGTGCAAGGAACAGGCCCATCTGATGCAACTCGAGAAGGCTGGGGCCACGAGAGCAGTCAACAATATGGTGAGCAACGGGTTCACCAAGATGCAGAATGCCAAAGAAGCGCTGCTTGAAGAATACAGTCACTTACAAGCTCAGCATCACTACGCCATCCGCGAGCAGCATCAGCACGACCAGGCGATCACCATGATGTGTGTGTCCGAAGCCATTTCCAACGCCGAGAAAGCAGCGAGAGAAGCGCACCAGCACGAGACCGAGGCAAGCAGGACACGACGAACCAAATAACGAGAAGAAGTGCACGGCGAACTCCCAAGTGCCCACCGCTGGGATATGGACCTGGACGCGGACATCCTGCACGAAATCGACATGCAGCTGAGGCAGCAAGATGGCGAGGAAGAGAAGAGACAGGCCGTGGCGGACCAAGAGCAAGCTCATGCCGAACGCGAAGTTGAAGCTGCTCTTCAGCTCATCTCCCCTAGCACCGCCGACAGCGACGCGCGCGGGTTCCCGTCCTACCCCATGATGGGAGGCGGCGACAGCAGCCCCCCCCCCCCCCCACACCACCGCAACCACAGCGAGACAGACTCCGATGCATGGGGGCGGCCGGAAACAAGGGCGGCAACTACCGCAACATGTCCGAGGTCTCAGTTTGCGACTCCAGCAGGCGACAAAGAGAAAAAGGCCGCAAACAACGACGACGACGTGGGCGCACGAAACCCCGCCCCAAGCGACGCCGACGAACTCGACCCGACCCCCGTTGCCGAAGACGACTACCCCTTCCCAGTTCCGACGCCACTTCCACCAACGTCCCCTCGCACACCGATCCCACCGAGCAACCAACTCCAAAAGGCCAACCCTCCGATCTCCCTGACTTCGACCGACCTAGTCCGCCCCAACGCCCAACGTCCGCACTAACGACAGCACCGCCGGAACCAGCAAACCCACAGCTGAGATCCTGATCGACGTCGCAACAGGAGACGACGCTGAGCCCCCATCTACACCCCAAAGGATGCCTCTCTCCGACATCTCACCCACCGCCCCAATGGTTCCGATCCAGCCCCCTCCGAGATTCTACCTGCGGACCCCTGACAGGGCAAGATCAGCCCCCCCCCCCCCCCCCTCGGACAGTATCAAGGAAAGGAGGCTCCAATGCTAGAACGACGCGACGCAGCCCAAGGAGGCCCGCATATGCGACACTGGAGACGGATTCGCAGATCCTGGTCACCGCGCCCCGGCCTTCATAGACGGCAGCGGGGCCAACCCCGACTCCAGCTCCAAAAACTGATAAGGCCACAACTTCCTGGGGGGCGACTGGCCAAGGAAGAAAGGCCACACCAGACACCAAAATATCCCGAAGTCTACGTGCCCAGCGACATCGACTCGTGCAGTGCTGCCGCGACGCGCCGACCTCGCCACCACCGCCCCCCCTTCCCAAACCATTGTGCTTGCTTCGGGGATAGCGTACCGCGCCTACCTGACCCTCAACCCAACCCTGTACCACACCACCAGCGGGCAATCCACTCTACGCAGCTGCTGCCACCGGCTAGCGGACCGAGGGTCAACCCCTCGGCCGCCGCATCTCGCGTGGGGGAGGCGAGAAGGCGCAGTGGCTCTGCGTCGCCACATAGACGCCAGGCACCAGGCATGGCGGACCCCCCTGTCGTCTTCAGCACACCACGGCATATCGCACACGGCAAAACACCAGAGGCCAAGTCGCGGTCGGTTCCGACGTCGACGACACCTCCAAGCACGCCGCCTACTACGGTAAGGTTCGCCGGGGAAATCACTCCCCACCGGCCGCTAAGCGGGCAATCTATTCAGGCGGCTGGCCAGACAACTCCTCGATCAGCGCTGGACTTGGGAGCCGACCCCCAGCTGGCACAGACCATCTTCAGTGGCAGGCCAGGGGGGGGCACAAGCGGTGCTTCTGGGCGAAACAAACCAGAAGAGCCGCCCCCTGGCTCATCAGAGGCCGCCACACTTGCAGAAGACATCAGCATCGACAACCAACGACAGCAGGCCAAGGGGGGGCACAAGCGGTGTTTCTGGGCGGAATAAACCAGAAGAGCCACCCCCTAGCCCAGCAGGAGCTGCGACGCGACCTGACGACGTCCAGAGTCACAAGCAGCAGCACGACACAGCTTCGGCTGGACCCTGGCGACCCCCCAGGGCCAGCCCTTGCACCGCTCGCCTACAGGGTTCCCACCACCACGAGGCGAGCACGACTCCCAGGACGCGGCCATCTAGGGCGAAGACTTCGAGCTCCCCGTCAGTCGACCGACCCGCGCACCATGGTAGTCCCTCGGCGCCTAGCCATTTTGGCTCCCAGTCACCACCTCCTCCCTCTCCAGGAGGACAGCTCAATATCACCAACAAGGGGATCATCCTATGCCAGACGCAGCAAGGACAGACGCAGCAGCAGCAGCAACGGCTGCACCTCGCCGAGGAGCTGCGCCAAACCCAGCACCACGGCGACGAGACGCTTGGACCCTGGCGACACCCCAGGGCCAGCAACTACCCCGAGAGCCCCCTAGTGGCCTTCGGTAACGGCATCAACCCACGCAGCATCCCAAACATTGAAGACACATATCTCGACTCACCTCCCCGACGCCACAACCACCCACCTACTGCCAAGCCCAGCTGTCTTGTCATACCCGCAGCAGATTACCGCATCAAGCTGCGGTCTCTACCGCGCCCCCACTCATAGCACCGACAACAATGCCAAAACACCCAAATCTCCACCTACCCCTTGCCATTCCACATCCCCACAACACCGCGACCACCTCGACCCACCCCTACCAGCGCAGCCGCACCGTGCAGAGCCACCATGGGGAGGGCTATCCAACCATTTCGAGCCCCCTCAGCCCAACTACCACCCCCACCCGACCTCCAGCAGCAGCCACCAGCACCACCCACCCCACAGCTGACGAGCAGGGTCGACTTCCAAGCACGACCCACAACCAGGCAAACACTACAACAGCCCCGAAATCCGAGAT